GCCACCTGTGTCACCTGACACGGGCTATATCAGAAGAAGATGCACAACTATAATTTGGGAGAAAAGGCTGAGGCTGACACGGGTGCCCGTGTCAGTTAACATGGCCCGTGTCAGAACGTCTGGGTGAGAGATTTTGTTGGAACGATGGACGACACGGGTGCCTGTGTCAGGTGACACAGCCCGTGTTGTCCAGGAGGCTGATTTTGAGTGTTTTTATGATATTCTATGATTTGGGACCCAGAGGGGCGTTTTGGGCATTTCCGACCAAGACAAATGGATTTGGCACTATTTACACTAGTTTTGAAGAAGAATAAGGGACCTTTTTGGCATCAAAGAATAGTTCACTCGACTGGGGAGTTCAAGGTTCTTGGAGAGCAGAAGATTCTCATGAGTGGAAGCAGTTGAAGATCGACGCTATCTAATTATTTGTAATGTCCAATTTTTATATTGTGATTATTTTGAATAATATGAGTAGCTAAACCCCCCAATGCTAGGGGGGTGTCCCTGATTTGACTCTGTAAATGATTTTGATTCCTGAATTCCTTCAATACAATAGTCTTCTCTATTCAATTTAATTGTACAATGTTTTTATGCTTTCCTGATCGGACAAATTAGGATTGATTTATGGTTAACAACCTGGTGGACTTTGGTTGTTAAGGTTTTTGTACTATTAGACTATAATAGATATCATCTAGGACTAGGGATACCCTATAGTTATCAGATTTAACCCTTGATAAAACAAAGGCTTGATTCTATCAGAAATCTCTAAGGACTTAGGATTTAGGATGAGGGTTCAAAGGTTTTCCCACTAAGGTCTTAGGGGAAGATAACCTAAAGGGCTGGTAATTGAAGGATATATACTTGTTGAAGAGATTATGATTCAAGATAGTTATAGGGAAAATCATACACCTTACCCTGGCATGCTCCTCATATATGTGAAAAAGCCATTTTATATTTATGCTTTTTGTTAAGTGACAATATCAAAACCAAAACCCCAAATTAAGTTTTTCTTTAATTGAACTACGAATTTAACCCAATAGTTGCACGCAGTCCTTGAGATTGATATCTTGAGAATTTCCTATTATAAATGCAAGGCAAAAATAATACACTTGTTATTTTTCCTATCAAGTTTTTGACACTGTTGTCGGGGACTCCCTAGTTATTGAGTGTAATTTGAGTTGAATTAGAATTTTGTCGCTCTGCAACTAAATTATTTTTTCTGTAATTTTTATATTTTTGTTATTACTAATTTTTTTCTAACCTTTGCATGTGAGGAAAGCCCTCGTTTGAGTTTCCTTTTGATATACATACTCAGGTTCAGAATCAGAACTCGAAACTATGGGTGAAAATTCACCATCACCGGAGAGACTTCTTGGGGACTATGGAGGAGTAAATGCTCCAACAATTTGATTGATTATCGTGAATCAACTGGTCATTGTTGCAAATTTTCATTTGCATTCTTCAATCATCCACCAGCTCGAGAACAGATCTTTCACTGGAAAGATCAATGAAGATGCCAATAAGCATTTGCAGAGATTCCTCACCATGAGTACTACTTTGAAGATTGAGGGACACTATGAAGAAGCCAATAAATTAAGGTTGTTCTCGTTCATGCTTTCTGAAGATGCTGAAGATTGGTTTTACTCATTACCTACCAGGAGTATTACTACTTGGGAACAGATGGAGAAGACTTTTCTTGATGAGTGAAATTCTGGTATCAGATATGTGATGTCGAAGGAGATGTCACAACACAAATATCTGAGCACGGTATAAAATACAACAATATTAAAAGCAGTAAAAACACAAGGGATTATTAACCCAGTTCGGTGTATAACAACACCTACTCAGGGGGCTACCAAGCCAGGGACAAGTCTACTAAATAGTATCAATTCATAAACCCTCAATAAACAACCAGTTTATGATCTAATCACTTAATCACTACCCGTACTATACTTCTACCTAAGACACACCTAGGTATGAGGCCCTCCTCAAATCCCTTCAATCACTAACAATGAAGAACAACATAAATATTAAGTTTTAAAGAATTCAATAATTTAATACTTAAAAGCTTATGGATTATCCACAATTAACAACTCAAATTACAACTAAAGTATTAAACCAATACTTAGAGTGTATTACAATTAAAAGACTTAGACTTCTAAAACAGAAAGAATATATTCTTCTTCAAAAGTTGCAGTATAATGAATAAGGATGCAAGTCTTTATAAAGGCGTAGCAGTGGGCTTGGGATGAAAAACAAATATTTCAATCCCTTGAATATTTCCATGAAAACAGACCAAGATATAATCCATAAGGATAAAGAAAATAGAAAAATATTGCTCTATATTTTTTGCAAACTATGAGTCACAAATCCTGAATAATGGCGTGCACAAAAACAGGAAACATAAACTGGAAACAGATATGAAGTCAAGTTCAGATCAGGAGGCAGATGTCAAGACATCTACTTTGACATCATTCAAAACTAGTTTGCTTCAAATGTTAAGACATTTAGCAAAACATTATCAAGTTAGTGTTTTACTAAAATTGCTGCCAGAAAACACTTATAAACTCCCCCTTTGGAAAATTTTGGCTAAAACATTATTTGAGAACATTATCAGAGCAGCAGCACAAGAAAAAACAAAACTTAGTTAGCAGTTAGCAAAAGTAACTAAGATAGCTATTAGCAGAGGAAGATGTCAGAACATCTTATGAGACATGAGGCTCCCCCTCAGTCAGTGGTCAGTCAGTCATAGGTCAGTCAGTTTCTCTCCCCCTTTTTAGACATAATATGCCAAATAAAACATGCATTCAAGAGAATAACAGTAATAGAATATGACAAATAAGTACAGACCATAGAATCCAAGAGTTAAGCACATACAAGTGCCAAAAATAAAAAATAAACAATAAATAATCTAACTATCTTCAGGACCAGTAGACTTGGCAGAGTCAGAACTTCCTTCATCATCAAAATCTCCTCCTTCAGTGCTCACTTTACCATCACAATTGTTGTCCTTCTACAGCTCCTTGATCATCTTTTCAAAAGTTAACTTTCTTGCTGAGCTAACTCTAATCACATCATCAAGTTCTTTGCAGGCTTCCCTTAATTCAGTAATCACATCATCCTTTGTTGAGGTCTTGTTTTCAGAAGATGCATATGTCAAAACAATGTATGGGACATGTTTTCCTGAAAACAACTCGAAGTGAAGGGTTAGAGCAGACTCCCTCTTGCAAACTACATCATTACCACTCAGAATTCCAGGATGTTGATTAAGAATAATTCCACAAATAAGGGATGGAAAGGAAATAGGCATCTTGATGGCACATGTTTCTGCATGCTTAATAGTCTTATAAAAAATGTAAGCACCATAATCAAACAGTTTCTTATTTCCAACAACATAGATAAACTTTCCTAAGCCAATTGTAATGGTTGAGGTATGATTTGGTAGGAACCCAGTTAGCAGCTCCAATTCTACGCAAGATAGCATATTTCACACTTAGCTTGATAACATAAAGCTTATTCTTCATGGGCCACTCACTCACTTGGTTAGCAGTGATGGCTTTGCACACTTGATTATCAGTTACTTCCAGCTCACAATAATCATCTTCCGACCTATCCATAAATCTATTGATGACAGCAAGGGAAAATTATACACACCTACCTCTAACAAACACCTTCCTATACTCCTTACTTTTATGATCAACACAGTCAATAGGAATATTAACAATAAATTCCTTAACAAGAGTCTCATAACATTTTGCAAACCTGGTGACAGTCTTCATCAATCTAGCAGAAGAAATCAACTCCATAATCTCTTTTCACTCCAGTGCAACAGCTCACAACTCTCTTCAGAGGCAATTCTTCTTTGAAATACATATTTCCACTTTTCAGCATTTCCAACAGAATGGAAGGAAATGTTGTCAAAAGGAGCACCAGGCACCCTAACAAAAACTTCTTGCTTTCAGATTTATTCAAAGGAGAGATGTCCTGGACATCTTCCTCGACATCATATTCAGAGTCAGATTCTTCTACTAATGCAACTTTCTTCTTACTTCTAGATCTCTTCACAAGTAAGATGTTCTAGAAAACATCATCATCATCATCTGTGGAGTTATCAGGTCTAGCTTTTCTTTTATCAGAGGGAGGAACCACTTTACTCCAGGGCTTTGGGGGACCATACATAGTCTTCTTCTTGATGCTCTTGGCAGGGGGTGTGACATCCACATTTTTTCTTTTTCTAGTCTTGAGCCTTTTAGCAACTCCAGGAACCACATTAGAAACGATCTCATTGTCAGACAACTCATAAACATTAACCACATTCTCAGTATTTTGATTCTCTGCAGCTTTGGAGCCAGCAGGATCTTCCTTAGCAGGAGAGTCCATCTCAACATCTTTTTTAACATCAGCTTTAACTTCTTCTAGAGCAAAAGTAGCAAGCTTGCCAAGTTTTCTTTAAGCAACATCTTTCTTGAAGGTGGATGATTCGGCAGCATTTTTAGGATCATTTTCTTTATCAGCTGGAGCAGGCATTCAGGCAAGAGGAGTTGAGATTCCAGGCACAACAAGACCTTAATTTAACACCCTATTGTTGTACCCCAATTTTTGACCTAAGATCCCATTTTTATTTTTTGCATTTTTTAAGATAAGTCAAGGTCACGAAATACGGTCGGTTTTAACCTCTCACCTTCGAGCTTTGACTATGCGAAGATTGTCAAGTGTTTTGAACATTTTTAGCATATGTATCACTAATTTCTAATCGCATACAAAGGTGTATGTTCATGTTTTCTTTTGTGTCATGTGCAGAGACAGGTCTGAATCAAGAGCATCAGGTGTCGCGCCTCAATTAAGGTTTTGAGTCTCCCAAGCCAAAAGTACGGTTGATTATGGATTCTCGAAGACTGATTCATCAAGGCACAACTGTTAACCAACCGTAAACCACTTAACCTCATCAATTCATCACCATCGATTCCGACCTCCAATCTCGTCTCCAGCCATGAATCCTGTTACTGCGAGTACCCTTTGCAAAGTCCCAACGCGATGCTCGCCGCGAGAACCAGCAAAAACTCCAAAGCTTTGCGGCTTCCGACAACCGTTAACTCCGACAATCCACTCCGCCGACACAAATTAGTGCCGGAACAACCGTCCAGCTTTGCCGATGTCAACACACAACGAAGACCGATTCCGCCAGTGACGCTCAGCTCTGCCGATCTGGGCTCCGCTCGCGATGATTGACCACGCCTCCTACCACCATCACAGTTCTGTCCCTCCAGGTAACCATCTTCCTTTCTCTTTTCTTAATACATGTATTTCTTGCCATGTTATGTGTTTTCTTAGCTTGAATCAAAGAAAAGAGTATGAAATTTAAAGTGAAAGAGATTGAGAAGAAATTGAAAAATTGAAGGGTTGAAATGTTAGGTGCTTGTATGGGCAAATCTTACTGCGTCTTCTAAATGTTTTGGTCATTTCAAAGGTTCTTAAATTTGGTGTACTTGAATTTGGGATTAATATTTTGGTCGCTGTAATAGCTGAGACAAGAGTTTTCCTCTTTCTAAAATTTTGTTTTTGATAAGATTGAGTATTTCTATTTTGTATTATTGAATGGTATTTAATTGCTTAGCAAGGTTGAACTTCCTTAAAAAAAAATATGAAAAAAATATATTAGTAAATCTTATATGTAGATTTAGTTTAGTATTAATTTAGAATTTTTTTAATTAGTTTAGATGTATTTTATAACTTTAAAATATTTAGAATCATAATTAATAACTTTAGAATTTTAATTTAATTAGATATAAATTAGTACTGTTAGAACCTTTAATTAATTTAGGTATATTTTGATAACTTAAAAATTTTAATTTGTTTAGATCTATTTTATAACTTTAGAACTTCCAATTAGTTTAGATACATTTTGATAACTTTAGAATTTTAATTTAATCTTAGAATTTTAATCTTTAATTTAGAACTAATTTAGTTTTGATTTAAGTTAGTAATTAATATAGTTTAGATTAACTTAGTAATTTTATAATGAATTTAGTTTATACTTAAACTAGTTTAGATGTAATTTAACAACTTTAGAATTAATTTAGTTTAGACCTAATTCAGTAATATTAGAGTGTTAATTTATTTTAGATTTAATTTAATAACTTTCGAATTTCAGTTAGTAACTTTAGAATTTTAATTTAGTTTTAGTTAATAACTTCAAAATTTTATTTAATTTAGTTAGACACTTTAGAATTTAAGTTTAGCTTACTTAGTAACCTTAGAATTTCAAATTAGTCTAGATAATTTTTTAATTACATTTTTCTTTTATTCATGATTCTTCTTTGTCCATTCATTTAGTTTCTTACAATTTATCTTGTTATCTACCTTGTTCGTTTCTCGTGGATTTTAACTATATATGATTTCTTACTCGAATATTAGATCTACCCACTTACGATTAATTCCAAGGGAAATCTTTCAACTCAGCTGACTTCATGTCATCAAATACATCTTCTACAATCGTGCGAATACCCTCATTCATTTTTTGCTTATTTACTATTTTTCCAAACTTAAGATAATTTTCCCAAAAGACTCCATTTTCAAACTCATACCTTTTAAGTCAAAACTTCGACACTAGGTCATCGTATCTTCAAAATCTCGTCCACACCCATTTTTGACCAAACAAACCATTTTAATCAAACAAACAATTTTAACCAAAAACAGATATTTCAAAAGGTTCCTGTGGAGTACCGCAGATGCATTGGGTGCTAATACCTTCCCATTGCATAACCAATCCCTGAACTTTAGATCTCTTTCAAAAAACGCATTGTATTTTTATTACTTTTAAGTCTTATTTTACATTGCATATTTTAGGGTTTTATTTCTCTCTTTTCCCTTTTCCCTTGGAAATAATAAAGCGCGGTGGCGACTCTTGCTTTTGTGAGTCAAGTTAATTAATAGCTTGATCTCCGATTTTCACCGCTACAGAATTGGCGACTCTGCTGGGGAAAGATTGACCTCTTGCTGGTCCATCCCTATGTGGGTTAAGCCTAATTTGTTTTATCTGTTTTATCATTATTTGATTGTTTGATTATATGTATATATTATGATTATTTGGGTGTTGATAATATTTATAAAGGACAAGTCCTATACCCGGACTAAGTTACACTTAGGAATAGGACGGGCGGTATAGTCATGTTAACTTTGAGGGAGTAATCCCGAAGAAGGAGGCATGAGATCCCCCACTCAGTGGAAGGCCCTTTTGAACGTAATATTTGTTTACCGAGTAATCGGGAAGACATTATTATTTTCGACCTGGGAGCCAGAGAAGCTGGGAACCGTAGGACCCTAACCTATCTTGGCCTTTTAGGTGTAGTGCGAAGTTTATAACGGAGTAATCCGGAAGTAATTGTTACGCGATGCTACGCTCGGAGGAGTTTCTCTTGAGAATATTGCTGATTATTGAGTAATCAAGACATTGGTAATATCTGAAGGAGGAATGTAGACTCCGGTAACTCTTAGAACCTTGTTCTACAGGTGTGATTAAACTGTTAGTACATACCTTGGGGGTGTTCCTTACCTTGACTCCATGCTCGTGACGTTGAACCTTTCGAATTTATTTGTGACCTTGCTTGTGGTTGTTGCATAGCCATGCATTCATGCATCTATAAAACCCTTTTCACTTGACTTTGAAGGAATTTGGAGGTCTTTCTTTGTAAATATCACAAGTTTCGTCAAGCTCAATGGATCTTGGGTGTTGATAGGGCGAAAACCCTAATCCACCAAAATGGATGATTGATCTTGATGATAACTTGATCAATGTTTGGAGCCAATTTAAAATTCATCTTCTATCTTCATACTTTGATGTTTACAACTTAATATCTCGAGTTCCTTGAAAGTCAAATAAAAACTCTCTTTTGCATATCATGTATCATTCTACATTTTCTTGTTTCACTTTCAAAGGTCATTTACAAGCCTTAATTTTTTCCTTTGGTCTCACCAGTACAAAACTCGCGCTAAGAGGACAATGGAGAATATCAAGCAAGAGATTTCTGAACTCTGCAGAGAGGTGACTAATTTGAAAGCTAGTGTGGAGCGCTTAACTGGTTTGGTTGAAATTGTGGTTGCCGCCCAAGTCAATCCTTCTAGGAGGGAGGAAGCGATGATAAAAGTATTCACTGAAACTCTAAAATCATTCTCTCATGAGAAGGTGTTGGTTAATGCACCTAATGACTTTCCTGACAAGGTGAATGTGGGAGTGCGTCTAGAAGAAGATGTTGGGAAGGGATGTTCATATGAAGGTGGTAGCCCAGCTAATGGTGTGAAGAAGTCTGATAATAACTTTTCCAAGAAGAGAACCAGAGGAAGAAATAATCATTGTCAGAATCATCATGTTTCTCCTATTCATCAACAGAATCAGCAAGTTCCTAATCAGAGGAAAACCCAGTTTGATCCAATTCCAATTACCTATACAGAGTTGTTCCCTATCCTGATGCAGATGAATTTGGTTCAGACCCGACCTCCACCGAAGGTTCCTGAGAAGATACATTGGTACTATAAAGCTGATTTGACTTGTACCTTTCATCAAGGTGCTCCTGGGCATGACTTGGAGGGTTGCTTGGCTTTGAGGATCGAGGTTCAGAAGTTGGTCAGAAGTGGTATCTTGTCATTCAAGGACGTTGGTTTTGAAGTTCAAATCAAGCATGTGCCGAAGAGTAAACACGATTAATAGTGACTTTGATTTTTGAAGGATGTTTTCAGTAATTCAAGTCCAGATGGAAAGCCTTCCCAGATTATTAACTTATTTATGCTTTTTGTAATTTTTCTTGTTTATCAAAACATTGTTTGCATGTAAGAACTTGTTTGTATCTGAATGATTATCTTAATACAATGAGTATGTTTGTCTTGAAGAAATTCATTCGTTTCACTCATATTTGTTTTCAAATTTTAAATTGCTTTTGCACTATGATACCAAATTGTTGCTCATTCTCTTGCCTAAGCAGAGATTGAGGGGAGGATGATGATCTAAAGAACACAAAATCTCTGGTTGTTTGCTTTTGGATAAAATCTTGCTGATGATGCACAGACATTGTTTCAAATCCCTAAACACCGGAGATATAAGGAAGATAATCCCTTGCTAACCCCTTTTGAGCCTTGAAGTAGAAGTTGCTTTTCTATACGAAAAACCCTCAACTTTTAACCTGGGGCAGGGTAGTTTTCAGTTAATCTGATTGAGTGTTCAAAATTCATAAGGAAGATATTTCTGAAGAGAAACTACGAGGGCTATCTTTCATGTATAATGAAGCCAGAAGATGTGGAATCATAATGTTATCCCTCATTCATCAAGAAATGAGGCAATCACAATCCTCTCAACAAGCAAAGACAAGCTAATGTCACACATTTTGTTCAAAAAGTTAAAAATCGAGAAAAAGAAAAGCCTGTTAAGTCAAAAAACATGAAAACGTGTGACTTAGGCAAAATTAAGGCATCCCGCTGGACTATCAATTCAAAAGAATTAGTTCAGGCAAAAGTTAGGGAAAAATAAAATCGCAAAGAAAAGGACTGCAAAGAAAAGTCCTCAGCAAAGAACAAAATAGTGACTACAAACACGAAGACATAAAGGTGGTTGCTACACGGAAAGCCTCGTCGTTTCCTTAACCGTCACAAAATCCTTTTGAGAGATGAACACTCATGTTGAATTAACTGAACATAGGGTTGGAGAACATCACGAAGAATGGGTGGGCACCTATAAATTTTGAGCCTTAAAAATCTTTTTTTTTTCTAAAAAAAACCATGAACCAGACCACGTTACAACCTTCAAAAGTCCTAATTGAAGCAAGGTTATTTTGAAAGCATACTTCAATGAGATAGTGTTCCTGACTCCCATGAATGTTCTAAATAGTTATGTTGGTATCATATGTTTTTCCTATACAAAAATAAATGGTGCTTTAACTCGCAAAATTTGTGCGATATCTTTCAAAATCTTCAAGACTTACATAACTGTTGCATTAGAATTTTCATTTTCATTGTAAACTTTTTCTAACTGCAAAACATTTGTTTGATATCAAGGAAACTCACATATAAGCACCAGTGATGAGTCTATTCTTAAGGACTGAAACTATGTTGAGTAATTGGCGGATCACGTCAAGAAAAAATCATATCCATGGGCATGTCACCTAAAGACCGTAAACACGAACATGTTGCTTCTCCTAATTAATGCTTTCTCAACTTGTTTACTCTTTTGGGGCAAAATTTGAAGACGTTGTTGTGCCAACTACAGTCAATCCGGGGCAATCACGTCGAGATTTGATGAATTCCTCTAAGAGTTTGAAGACACCAGAGCATGGTGAATGCCAAGTCTTTTGTAAAATCCTCTTGAGACGATTTCTCCTCATCAACCAGATAGCTTAGGGCATGTTAGAAGTGAAGCTATTCGCAAGAATTGTCGTGCAACATGCAGCTTATCAGCAGTAAACTTGGGGCATCCA